AATATACTGATCTCTTTGCACGTATTTCATTTGAGTGAATTGAAAGTGTACATGACTGGAGAAGTTGAGAAAAATAACACAACAATCAATGACCTTAGGACAACGAAACTTGCGACGATCGTCTTATAACCGCATGTTTTGAAAAGCAAGAATCTCCCTGGGACCAGGAAATCCGAGTGTGGACGAAATCTGTCATGAATACTCCTAGAAATAAAATAAATAAAACAACACAGTAGTTAAAATACCGGATGTGTTACATTGTGTGGTTTATTTTGCCTGAGGGATAATCTTGGAATTTCAAGGTAGTTCTCATGCAAGATTTACCGGCATAAGTATTTTAGCTCACTACAATGGGACTTGTAGAGAAGCCAGGATCACATTCTTCTCAGCGAATGAAGTATTTACAAAACAGCTGTTATACAAACATGGAAAATAAGCAAACTGGAAGAATGAATTCAAAACATAGACATAGTTTAACAAAATACAATGTAATCTAAGTACCCTGTTTCACTGACCTGGAAGGGAGGTCATTTTCAAGCTGGTTGTCAAACGCCATCAACATCTTTTATTTGTGTTATTTTGTTTTTATGGTGGGAGCGCTTATTCACCTTTTTACAAAGAGTCATTGACTGCATCAACAAAATGTCAAGTATGAATCACATGAGAAGATAGATGTGATGTGATAGATAGATAGATTCATTAATTCAATAATTTGTATTTATTACGAGGATACCGAATGCACGAAGACAGTATAGTGAGAAATCATGCGACGCGCAGCAGAGGTTGATGTGATTGCATACTGTCTGAGGGCATACTTATGCAGTATCCTTAATATTATTATACATTCTTTCCTTATTCTTTCCCAAGAATACATCATGGGAATGCTGAAATCCAAAAAGTTTAGAACAGATTTAGCAAACTTTTTTGTGTGGGGCCCTGTCAAACCCTGGGGCTCCCATATTTGTTTTCAATAATAGAGGACGCTTACACAGGTAATCAATCCATATTTGAAATTCGCATTTCCTTATATGGTAGAATAAAAATACTTACAGCTCGCTGTAATTTGTGGCGTTATGGATACAGATGTATAATGATATTTATCATTATGCTAATTGTTTGTAGAACTGACTGGTCCGAGTTATCTCATTGGTTGTATTTATCAATGAATGTAATCTATGAATACATTAAAATTGGAGATAACAAATGACAAACTCAGATTGTCAAACAATTATATTTTCTATCTTAATGTGCGAATAACATGCACACAGCATTCTTACATTTTCAATCAAATTTGGTTTCTATCCAAACAATTTACTTATCTTCCTAAACAACCTTCCCAATTTCCAAACATCTGTTTTTCCCTCTCAAATAAATATCCAACTGTCTGTCACTCCAAAACTGCTATCCAAACTGCTTTCTATCTAAACAACAATCTTTTCATCGCAAACATTTTTCTCACCTTTCCAAACACATTTCTTGCAGCTATGTCACCTTGGAAACTGTCTTGCTTTTAAAAACAATTGGCTAGAACGACAACATTTTATTCTTGCCTTTTTTTTAAGACAACCTTTCTGAATTTTCACCTTCACAAGCAATTTAAAGCGACAGGGTCGTCACCTGTGCACGCGCGGGAATTGACGCAGGTGACGATTCCCCCGCTTTAATCTGACTTTATTATTAACAGTACTTGTACAATTCATATCATTATTCATAGTCGTCATGAATGGTTATTAGCACACATATTTTTGAATCCTATTAAGTCAGTGGAAACTGAAATTGAAAAAAAAGAAACAAATTTATATTTTTCTACAATCTCAATTCTATGATCAAGTACCCTGAAATACAGCAGGTTAATTTCAGAGTATGAATTCAATAAATATTTTACTTGCCTGTTCGTATCAAACTGGATTGAATCCTAAGTCACATACTGGATGGGACTCTGAAGCAAAGGTGCCATCGATTCAGTACCGTAACATACATCTGCAAAGCTAAGTTCATAAAAACTTTCAAGTGTAACAAATCTTATTTCATAGGTGGATGCACAAACCAAAAACGTGGACTACTACTCGACCTTTCCACCAGTGTTACAGACAACACAAACAACCTTTCGGCTTTTCAAAACAACTCAACTGACTTCTCTGGCAATTAGCCAATCTGCAAGACAGATTTCTAGCCACCGAAAGCAACTTTCCCTTCTTCTAAAAAATGTTCTAACTTCCTAGTAACTTTTGCGTATCTAAACAACTTTAAAACGTTGTTGTTGTACCACCCCCTCTCTCACTCCCTCAAACAAATCGGCACTAAAATGTGAAGCTACTGTACCTTTGAATAACTGAAAGAAAGAATGACTATTCAAACTTAATTAATCTCTGTACAATCCAACATTCGTATCACAACAATGCACATATGCCTGGACCAATTACATGCACACTTGTTACATACACAAAACACATACATACAAATATTTCGGGTCACGACAACAGTAATTTAATGACCTTAATTCTCTTTATTCGCATCATTTTCAAATTAAATATAAGCATTTGTGAGGAAAAAGAAATTTTTCCATTTTTTTTTTATTTTCGAACATGTTTGAAGTACACTTGATTTTTTTATACTTTGAGAAAGTCTTCATTTCATGTTCACAGAAACAATTAAATAAATCAAAATATACAGTTCTGATACAAAAACATCATTTTAGACCCTTACATGTTTTTAGGGTATATAAGCAACACAAATATGTCTATGGAATGAGTCAATGAAAGGAGTCAATGAAATGTATCAGTGAAATGTGTCAATGAAATGCACCAGTGCAAATGAAATGTGTCAGTGAAATGTGTCAACAAAGTGTGTCGATGCCAATGAAGTGTATCAGTGAAATGTTTCAATAAAATGTATCAGTGAAGTGTATTCAATGAAATGTATCAGTGAAGTGTATCAGTGAAGTGTATCATTGAAATGTTTCAATAAAATGTATCAGTGAAATGTATTCAATGAAATGTATCAGTGTCAATGAAGCATATCAGTGAAATGTTTCAATAAAATGTATCAGTGAAATGTATTCAATGAAATGTATCAGTGTCAATGAAGTGTATCAGTGAAACGTGTCAATAACATGTGTCAGTGAGATGTATTCAATGAAATGTACCAGTGTCAATGAGGTGTATTAAATGAAATGTGTCAGTGTCAATGAAGTGCATCAGTTAAATGTGTCAGAGAAGTGTATTCAATGAAATGTATCAGTGAAGTGTATCATTGAAATGTTTCAATAAAATGTAATAGTGAAATGTATTCAATGAAATGTATCAGTGTCAATGAAGTGTATCAGTGAAACATGTCAATAACATGTGTCAGTGAGATGTATTCAATGAAATGTACCAGTGTCAATGAGGTGTATTAAATGAAATGTGTCAGTGCCAATGAAGTGCATCAGTTAAATGTGACAGAGAAGTGTATTCAATGAAATATGTCAGTGTCAATGAAATGTTTCAATAAATTGTATCAGCGAAGTGTATTCAATGAAATGTGGCAGTGCCAATGTGCGAGTGTCAATGAAGTATATCAATGAAGTGTATCAATGTGTTAATATCGAACTGTGCCAATGAGATATGTCAGTATCAATGGAGTGTTTCAGTGAAAAGTTTCAACAAAATGTGTCTATGAAGTGTATCAATGAGATATGTCTGTATCAATGCAGTGTATCAGTGAAATGTTTCAACAAAATGTGTCTATGAAGTGTATCAATGAGATATGTCAGTATCAATGAAGTGTATCAGTGAAATGTTTCAACAAAATGTGTCTATGAAGTGTATCAATGAGATATGTCAGTATCAATGAAGTGTATCAGTGAAATGTTTCAACAAAATGTGTCTATGAAGTGTATCAGTGAAATGTGTGAGTGCCAATGAAGTGTATCAGAAAAACCAATGAAACACAGCACTATAAATTACCCAAAATTCTCTCTGATTTGTACCATTGGAAATTAATTTCACTTTCTCTTAAACTTTATAGTGGCTTACCTTAAATTTACCTCAAATTCTGGCAAAAAAAATGTATGGAGGTGTAAAAACTCTGCCAGTCTTTGGGCAAACTCCAACATTAGTACTCTCTCTCATCACCTGGCAGATAATATACATATTTCTTTGTTTAATCCATTAAAGACACAACCAGGTGCTGGGAATTTACTTTGTTATCTTAAAATTATATAGTATGGTAACAAAATAAGATTGGTTTACTGTTGTCAAAAACACACTACTACTGGAAGCAAAACATCAAACTATTCAGTAATTTGTAAAAAAGAAAAGAACATTTTGAAAATAATTTACATATTATACATGAAGCATATCTACAGATGTGTACCAGTGACATTTACCTAACTTCTACTAACCAATTTCTGTTAGAACAAACCGCACAGGATTGTGGGTAATCACACGCACTGTGTATTGGTTAAATGTATCAGTGACGTCTATCAATGAATATCAATGTCAATCAATGTCAGTGAAATTAGCATATATTTGTCATGTGATTTCTTTTGAAGGGAAAATAATATTTTCATTTAATATAAATGCTTATCATAACGCGACTTCGGTGGTCATTTCTGCAGCTCTGAATACAAATTTTATTTTAAACTATTTTATACGATGCTTATACAAGAAATAAAAATAAAATTTAAATCTCACGATTTGAGACATGTACTCACAGTTGTGCTCTTTTGAGTTAAACATCTACAATTTTAAGCTTTATTGAATTTATATTGTTATTATGATAATAATTGTAATATAGATACACAGGCTAAGTCCAATTAATAAAGTACATGATTTAATCTGGTATTTCAAATGATACAAGCCAATTAATTTCCATGATCCACAGGACCTGCCAGAGTAATGAAGTGTATATTTTAATCAGGCATAAAGATGATTTCCATGACATAAAGGTCCAATCTGATTAATATAGAATATATTTTAATCTGGTATTTCAATTGATAACATGGTTTCCATGGTCCACAGGTTCTTATCAATTAATAAAGTACATATTTTAGTCAGGTGTTTCAATTGATACTAGAGGCATGACCACCCTGGATGAACTTATACTTATTTTAGACTTAGAATCACATTCCGAGATTGAATCTCTGTCTATTTCTGATGACTCTGGACTTGAGTTCTCATCTCGTTGTATCTTGTACGAAATGTTCCCATATTCCTGTAAAAATGGACAGATTTCCAGCAGAAACTGACAGAAATCTTTCCTTATTCCAAACCACCCTACAGAAGGAAGAGAATATGATAAAATCAAAGGTACAACATATCTGTGGAATCGAGTCAATTCTATCATTGCTAGTTCACGGTCAAGCTGTCCCTCAATCGGACACTGCGTTTACTTCTACAATGTGCGCTGGTGGGCTTATTCCTGCTTTTTAAAGGGCAACAGTCATCACAGCAAGTAATGTACGATATGGATACGAATATAGTGACATATACACCGCAGGTCAAATACATAGTTCATACAAAATTGAAACACACGCTACGAGATGATCACTACCCTTTAACAGTGTTTTTGGCTTGTCGAATGACAGGGAAAGACATTTTGCTTTTTTTAAATACTTGTTGGATATTTGCGGGGCTGCAAAAAAGGACTAGCTTGACTACTGTTGTCAACACTTGGTACAAATATGAACATTGAAAGAAAAAGTATGTTGCTACAAGCAAGTAAACAGTAATTCTCTAAAACTTGAAAGACAATTTTCGATTAGCTAAATAGAAGAACTATGATCAGATAAAATGACATAATGTGTTCACAGTGATCCTGAGGTGTCATTGTTTTCTATTCATTAACACTGTTTTAAACAAATGCACTATCAAAACTGACCTAAATTTATATTTGCATAAATGTTGACAGCAACACACTCATATGAGCTGCGATCAATTAAAGCATCGCGAGTGGAACAGAAGCGACATAGATGGTGGCCTAAGCGCCGGGTGCATGCGAGGCTTGAAAGGCCTGCGAAGAACACAATGCAAAGGTATTTTTATGGGCAGGAAAGTAATATGAATAATACAATATATAACATTTAGTATTGGAGATGCATTTCTGATAAAGCAAATATGGTAGTGTCCAATGATTCCATTCGAGAAAAAATGATATTTCAATTACTTACATGGATTACCCCCTCGCTGGCCAAATGCCGTACCAATCAGCGTCAACAATGAAATATACAATGGAGTAAATATTGCAATAAAGGCGTAATCATTGTTGCCGTCCAGCTTGTTAGCTAATAGTACCTGTAAACATCACAATATGAACATGTTTAGTTTTTTAATGTTGCAGTAATCCTTTTTTTAGAACATCTTTTCAAGTTGAACCACAGTGAATCCAAAAATAGATAGATGTTTCTAGGGATAATCATATACTATCAGATCTGTCGACTGTGGAGACCTCATGCCTTGCCTTGAAACCCGTGTCAGGTAAGATAATGCTGCTGTTGTCTACTGACATACCACCTCTTGATACGCTAAATCAGCAAATGTTTCTCATGATGACAACGAAATGGAGTCACAAATGGAAATTTTATGTAATTTCTGATGCTAGAAAACATTCCATGTGATCAAATGAAGTACAATAAATCTTAAATTGATGTTATTCTGTCTCATGTTCAAACACAATTTTTGACCTTTCTAGGGTATATAGTAACATTCGATCGTGTGTTCAAATTTCCTGTGCTAACGCTTTTTGGCAATGCTCAAATACACATTGATTTACAAAGATTTGCAGTCATAGTCCCTGTTGTGGTCAGAATCACATAAACCGACTCAAATTGTTTGCGGTCACACACATCGAATGACATGTGGCATTAAATAATGTACCCAAGCATGTGTTCAAGAAACATTTATGCAAATGATATGAAAGAAGAAGCATTAACACACACATACTGTGATTCTGATGTTAGTTTCAGTGACAAAAATCAAAATCACACAAAAATGTTATATTCACCCAGATTTCTTACTGAGTAAAGACTAAATATCGAACAGTGGGTTTTACATCAACAAATATCAAATAATAATCAAAGAAAGCTTAGAAAGAACTCCAGTGTACTGAGAGTATTGAAGACACATTAAAAATTAATTCAAAATTACTTGTACTTGAGATATTGATGGAATAGCTGAAAACTAATTATGTAAATCAGGTAACTGATATGAACAGATTTAAGTGTAAAACTAATAAGGTCTGCACAATGTACCAAGTTTCATTGAAATGTGATTAGAACCCAAAAAATATTAATTATTATGCTAATTAGAGAGTTACTATGAACAGATTTTAACCCAAAATTAATCAGGCTGTCTATTGTCCTAGAGCATTTATGTACCAAGTTTTATTCAAATGTGATGATCATACTTGAGATAT